TATATATATATATATATATCATCATTGATTTTCTTTTTCGGAGTGGACCTGGCTATTCTTTCCTGTTAATTTTTACATGAACTTAAATCAGTGTTATGTAGTCTAAAAGAACCATCGATGTGTCTTGAAGAATAACATTCAATTTAATCATTTAACTTAAGAAGAACTGATGTTTTTATAACATTGAATCTTCTTATATAAAAACATCTAGGCCTTTTCATCTAGATCATTTTGGAGTCGAGTAATAGATTTAAAGTGATATTTTTAAATGTTTTATATCTATTTCCTATATATATAGGTATCTAATACATATTTTTAATTAAGATTTCTTCTGTTCTCTTTCAAAATGTGGGTCTGTTTTTTCATCATATCTTCTAACCGATTGTTATTTATAAATGTAAATGTAATTGAGTTGGATATATTAATATTTTCCTCTACTAACTTGCTTAATTACCTTATTGTTTATAATAGTTTTTTCAGGTGATTCTCTTGAGTTTTCCAGTTACCCTATATTATCATTGCAACTGGAGATACATAATTTTTTTCAATTTTCAAATAAACTTTATATTTTATAACAGTTTTAGATTTACAGAAAATTGTGGAGGAAGTACAGAGAGCTCCCATATACCACAATTTCCCATATTGGTAACATCTGACATTAGTATGGAGCATTTGTTAGGTACGTAATGAACCAATATTGATACATTATTATTAACAAATGTTCGTACTTTGTTCAGATTTCCTAGTCTTTAGTAATGTCCTTTCTCTCTTCTAGAACTAATTACATTTAGTTATCTCCTTAGGCTCCTCTTGGCTATGACAATTTCTCATACTTTCCTTATTTTTGATGTTTACAGTTTTGAGGGATACTGGCCAGGTATTTTGTAGAATGTCCCTCTATTCCAATTTTTATACCTCTAATTTATTACTCTTATAAAATGGAGCGACTACATGCAGTGTGGTGGGTGTTATATGGAAGTGGTGATAGCAGACATGCTTGTCTTCTTTCATTTTTTGCTGAAATGACTCTGGGGTGCCCCATTAAGCATTTTGAGCTGGGATAGATATATTTGATCATGATAATGAAATATTGTATTTCTATACTTTTATAGTTTTCCTACCTTGATTACAGTGAATATTATTTTTCAGAGTGTCTGTCTTTAAATTGTTAAAGATGCTCGTGTTTGTGTGTGGAGACGGGGAGCGTCCAGTAGTTTTCCAGGCTAGCCGCTTTCACAGCCCGATGATTCTCTTCTTTCTACTGCCCCAGAGACAGACTGCCTCCTGCAAATTTGAAATTTGGCAAATCCACCTCCTCTGCTTCTCTGAACCAACGTGGGACTAGGAAGGCATCTGACCAAGGTTTTATTCATCTCAGCTCTTGAACCTGACAACGTGCCCCTTCAGGAAATGTACTGCGTAGTGTTTTCTGAGGTCCGTCACTGCTGCACGCTCTCACCACCCCTTTCTTCCCCTTTTCCCACACAGTTTTTGCCTGATATCAGCTGCTTTTAGAAGACATTAAGTATATACATTGGAGTCTAAAAAGTATATATCTCTCCGAGTTTGATCGAGAATGAAGTTTGTGGGTTTCAAATTCTTGATTCTTGTTATTTTACGATTTCTCAGAGGAGGTAAAAACGCAGACTTCCACAGTTATGTTCATACCAAAAGTCTTAAACAAGTAATTTTTGACCCAAAGACCGCCCACTAATTTCTGGAACTAGGAGGCAATTCAATCAATCCTTGAACTCTGTCACATAAAGTTTTATTAGAAACATAATGGGGATTTTGGAGAGAGGACTGGTGAACTTTGCATAGTGAAATAGAAACTTGAATTGCCAGAGAACTTGATAAGAGATAAGGAAATTCATTCATTCAGTATAAAAATAATTGAAGAACTGCTTTGTGTTAAGCATTTTGCTAGATAGTTAGATGATAGTTCTCATTGGTGGAGTTAGTCTAATTCATGGTTAGAAACTGGACCTAGGTTTCTTGAGAGTAATAAAACCAACCTTATTTGCTTTAAGAAGAGGCTGAAATGAGTTTCGATATAGGAAAGCACTTGGTGAATTTCTGAAAGGGACATTTGGAGCCATCGTAAACTTTTAAAGAGTAAAGTATTGTGACCACAAAATTGGGTGGAGGTCTGTCTGGCCCATTTAAACCAAGAAAGTCACTGACAGGTACATGATATAGGATGCCAGGTGGCTGTGGCATGGCCACAGATAGACATGGGCTGTGACCATAACTGAAAGAGAGCAGTTTTAGGGAAGATGCTTCAGGGTTTGAGGCTGGCAAATTATAGGAGTCAAGATGAGACTGACTAATGGAAACATAGGAACTAAGAGTCAAATCAGGGCTGATGGTCACAGGGCAATGAATGAAGGACATCCCTTATGCAAAGGTTATGCCTCCTCATTTTCCCACAACTGAGGTCAATTTCCATTTATATTACATGCTCACTTTTCCCACATGTGATCCAAAAAGTCTCATTTTAGATGAGGGTTCCTGAAAACAGACTCTGGGACTCAGAGATTAGTATACAGATTTGATGGGGAGTCCTCTGGGGAACAGCACCTGTCAGGGCATGAAGGAAGTTAGAGGTAGAGGCCTCAGCTAATCTTAGAGGGAGCTCCGGCTCTT